CCACCTCGCCCAGCTTCCAACCTTCCCCCGGCGGACGTGCGCCTTCCCCTGTGCCTTGAGGAACGAAAGGTCTATGCCCCGCCCTCAAACTTAAAAGAGCCCCTCTCATTGGTCAGTTTCGTGTCTCCACTCAACGGGGATTGGTCAGACCCCTGGACCTCGAAAATCGTCATCCGGCCACCGCAGAGCCTCCTGAACAGTCTTCTTGCTCAATTCCTCCAGTCTGGCCTCTGCCACGGTCATCTCCTGGGGAACCCGGTTGCCCACCAGATCTCTTTCCCGCACCTTGGAGATGAGCATGATGCCGTCCAGCGACCGGCACCGCGACAGCTGCACGTACAGGCTGTACGGATCGCATTGCGCGGGGACTATGTATCCGTCGACATTTGTCGTCCTCGCCCCCCGCAGCTCCAGGGCTACGCGCTCGAGCGTCTTGCTCTGCACTTTGTAGTCTGTGCACGAGAAAGCCGCCGCGCACGGCAGACCCTTTCGGCTGACGTCGTTCTGCTGCCACGGCCGCTTTCGCTGGCAATGTATGCTGACACTCGTGGGTATCAACAGGATCGTGCCGGGCGGCATTCCGACGAAGTGGAAGTTCTTTGTCGTTTCCGACTCCAGTATTATCCCCGCCGGCGGCCCGAAGTGGACCATCGTATCGGCCGAGATCCGATGGCCCGGGTGCGCCTTGTCGAGGATGACGTTAAGCGCCGTGTAACTGGCCCCATTGACAAGTTTCAAGCCCTGATGGGTATTGTGGTTCACGACGACGGGCATCCCTGGCACGAATATGAAGACGCCTGGTACTGGGACCGCGCTATTATCGCCCTGGTTTAGCATCATGATGGCTTCTTCCTCCGTCGGCAGGCCGTCCTTCCATTTGTGCTCGGATATGAAGATGCGCATCATCGACCGCTGCTGGATCCGGAACGACAAGGCCGCCTCCATGTTCAGATTCCACCGATTCCGGTTCAGCGGCGTCACCACGGTGATGCCCGTTTCCCACGGGATCCGCCTGCCTTCCCGGTAGCATCTTGAGTTGAGGAGGTCCAAATCCGTGCGGTCCTGCACGCCCGACCGGATCCGCTTTAGCAGTGTCTGCAATTCCGGATCTCCGGCCGCGCGTACTTGTTCGTCCAGCATGACGACCGTCGTGAACTTCTTCCACAGCGCGTGCGCCTTGTCATGCTGGTGCCGTTGCTCGGCCTTGAACGAGTTGTCTTCGTCCCACGAGACGGCCACGCTCGGCAGCAGGATCGACCTCTCTTGTACCGGACGGAACTGGTGGAAGTCTCCGCAGAAAAGGACGATGGGGATCCCTCCGAAATCCTGTTGCGACCCGCGGAGCCTGCAGAGCTGCTCGTTCGCCGCGTGTAGCGTCCGAGCCCCCAGCATACTCACTTCGTCGATGACTAGCAGGTCTTTCTCCTGCCAGTCCATACGAGACTGGCCATGGACAAATCGTTCAGCCTGTTTTGGCAGTCGCACACCGTCGAGATCCTTGGCCGTGTTCGCGCCCCCCGCCGCTTGGTCCTTGGTGAACCCGCAGGCGGAGTGGATCGTGATGCCGTTGATCTGCGCTGCGGCAGTCCCCGACGTCGCCGTGATCAGCAGACGGTTCGAAATACCTTTTGATGCGAAGAGCTCGACGAGTGCTTCAATGACTCGTGACTTGCCGGTTCCACCTTCTCCACCAACAAATTCGCAGAGCTGACCGATATCGCCTCTGCCGCTACATCGTATCGAGTCGAGCTGGCGGCATATGATGAGGAAGGCGATTGTCTGCCTCTTGTTCAGCGTGAACCGCGCTGCCAGAGCCTTACCTGCCTCAAGGAAGGACGTTGATGCACCAAAGTCGACTTCCATGCGCGGACCTGCCTCGCCTGCCGTCTCCTCTTCCAAGTCGGCTGCCGTCATTTGGATATCCTCCTCGCCGAAACCAGTGAGCACACTTCGCACCGCCGCACTGTGGTCAGTTTTATCGGCCCCGGCCATATTTTGTATGCCCTGGATCATTCGCTCCCTCTCTCTGGAGGCACGGATCTGCTGCGACTTGATGGCCTTGACCTGATCCTGCGGTGGTATAACCGTCCCCGAAAATGCCACTTCTGGTATGCTTATCCGTCTTTCTCCCCGTTCGGGCATTACGGTGGCCTGGAGCTCAGCAGTCGAGCTCAGTGCTGACTGCTGGAAACGACAGAGCTGCTCCATTGTTGCCATGAGCTCCGGCGAGCCGGCAGTGATCTGGTTGGCGCCTACTGCACTTCTCACAACGTCAATCAGACGCGTTGCATTACCGATGCTGTCAGACTGGTACACCGATGCGGCCTCTTCACCAGCCTCGCCTTCTCCTTCCTCACCGGCACGTGCGGCCGTGAAGTCAGCGTCGCCGGCTGAGGCTGCCCATTGCCTGGCGTCGCGTTTCGCGTCTTCGGCCGACCGTCGGAGTAGTTGCACATTATCGACGAGGCATGATATTCTGGGAGGAAGTGCCTCTCGAGCCCGCGCCCATATGCTGTTGATGTCGCCCGTTTGTTCGCACAGGAAAGACTCCCATGGCACAAATAGCGCAAGATGCTGCACCGCTGCTCTTCAGCATGGAGGTTAGTCTCTTCAACACGACCTTTTACACTCCGTCGGCGGCGGCAGACCCACCTTCGATAGCACGACTCTTCGTCATCCTGGTCGAAATCCTTGCTCAGGTAGCCATCAAGGCAGACGCTGGCGTGCTTTCCCGGCCGTCTCAGCACCTGCAACCAGCCTCTTCCAGACTCCCACTCGCTCTCAAATGGCACCTCTCCCCAAGCGCCAGCGATCTCATCTTTACCGACTCGTTTGAGTCTGACGAGCGACACATAGTCATATAGACACAGGCTTCGCAAAACGTCTCCCCGGTGCTGGTATGCCTCAGCATAGCTAATCCTCTCACCTGCTTCTTCCACAACTATCGACTCGTCCACGGAATCGTTTGCAGCCTCTGCTCCGCTCTCTTTCCGGAGGTGTCGCCATCGTCGGAAGACGTGCCAGTAGAGCAGAGAGACATTTAGGAACGTCCAATCGTTGCTGTTGGTGAACTCGGTCGGGTATCCCAGAAGGTGGGCGATGACTTCGACCTGCGATAGTGATCGCTCCGTGAATATGCGGTTCGCCACCCTCATCAAGAATTGCCGCGTCCTGTTCCCCTTGACGGCGTCATCGGTAGCACCTCCTCCACCGTTCCCCCATCCGTTGGCCGTCCCTTCACCCGTTGATGTGGTCAAGAGCTCTGCCGCGGCGGCCACACGCTTCCACACCGGATCCTCCACTTTCGTCGCGTAATTTGTGACATAATAGATGAGGGCCATGGTCTTCCGCTGCGTCGCTATGAAGGAGATGTCATGGTTGTGGCGAAGCCCCACGGCCATGGCCTTGTTCCACCGATTCACCATGCTATGCCTCCTTCGAATTTGCAACACGCCGTCTGCCGTGAAGGCAGTCTTTTCGACTAGTCTCCATGGCGCCTGGAATCGACAAAGGCCACGCCTCTTTCCTCCTCCTTTGCCCTTGCTCAAGGAGTACTTGACATAAGTTGGGCTGTGAGTATGGATCTGTGTCGCACCGGCATAGAAATTCGCTTCCTCGTTAAATGCGGCCGAAAATTGCTCCCTGTTGTCAAGCAGGGAGGAAATGTCCGATGCCACCGACCGTTCCGCTTGGAGGGTGCAATACCCTTCCTGGTCCAAGTCCTACCTCATAGGTATGTTAGCTTTGGCCCCCGCCCCGACCGCTGCATCTTCTTCAATGATATGCCTAGTTAGGGCTATATTGTACCTCGGAGAAGATACTATCTATGTATTGGATGATATGTTCACGGTACGTTGCTTGGTCTTCGCCGTCGATATCGGCAATCATCGAACTCAAGTGCGCGTTTCCATGCAACCAAAGCAACCCGTGGACATGAAGCGCCCCTCGTTCGTTGGTCTCGACAGCACCAAAATAGTCGATGATGCGCCCGAATACCGACTCCTCTCCCACTTTGATATAATGCTCAAAGAACAACGTCATCTCCCGGTGGAAGAAGATGGCCGAGCTCATGGGGTCCGAAATGGCCAGCCGTAGGCGTTTGTACGACATGCCAAGGCTCTTCAGGAAAGCCTCGGCCGCGTCAGGCTCGCTGGTGCGGTATGCTGCAAGTCGCAGCTTTACCGGGTTCGTAATATCGTTTGGATTGAGCGTGAACCAGATCGCCGGCACGCCATGACGAAGAACAAGCGACTGTATCTTCCGCCGCATACTCAAGCGATTTTCTCTGGACATAGGCTGGCGGAAGCCGTACAAGGAAAGACTTCTCAAAAGCTCCTTCACACCCTCGTCAGTCGTTTTTCCTGAGTTCTCCAACTCGATCCTTGCCGCTGCTAACCTGTCAGCCGAGAGCGACCGTACTATGCGCTCTATCTTGCGGAAATCTTTCCTCTTTACGCTCAACATGCTGACGCGACGGTTCCTCGACCGTACACTCATGTTGAACACAAGGAATGCAAAGATGTGGTGGGTCGCAAATCGGCCACCATGGCGCTGGAGCGTGATGTCGGCCCACGTTCGCAGACTCATGCTACGGGACGAGACGAGGTCTTGCGCCGCCGCCTCTGCTCCGCGCATATCGGCACCTCTTCCCACGCTTATGGCAGCTTCTTCCACCAACCGTGGCCCCCCGACGCCAAAGGGCAATAGCGTGGGAAACGTCTTCGCGAAGAACGAGGCATCGAATGTGTCAGCGAATTCGTCGCCCCGAGAAACGTGAATGTATGGCTCACATCCGTCAGCAGGCCCTGTCCGTATCTCCGCCGATTCCACCGATTCCACCCGTGTTGTCGGGCCCGCTTTGGCTCCCCCGACCGCCGTATCCCCGTTCACGGCATTGCAGGCAAACAAGAGCTTCTCCACATCGGCTACATCCGGCGGTCCGTCCAGGGCAAACATACCCGATGATGTGACTTCGTTGATCGATTTTCCCAATTGACCAGACTCGGCCTCGCTCCCGTGGCCACCTTCGTCTTCGGTCAGCCCCGGCCCTTGGGTGTCGCCGCTGGGTATGTCTTCTCCTCGGTTAAGACGAGCGAGGACCTCTTCGATCTCCAACGATCCCTCGTCGTCCATGCCACGCTCCGTTGGAGGAACAATTTGCGCCGTTCGCGTTTTTTCCCATGCTGTTGGCTCATTCCGTTCCATGCGATCGTACACCAGCGGCGGCACCCCATGCGGCGGCGCGCCCCAGCTCTCCATCTCCGCCGCGTCAATCTCGATCTCGGCGTAATGCGGGTTGTTCTTCTTCAGCCAGACGAGGGCCCTCTCAACGACTCGTCGCCTCACCGATAATAAACCTGACAGGTCGCTTGGTGCTGGCTTCTCCGCACCCTGCCACGAGACATGGATCTCTTCCATCACTTGGACGAGCGGGTGGGGAAGCACTTTTGTGGCCAGCTCCTGCACATTGTTGGGGAACACCGTGATGTGGCCCTTGATGTGCTTCGGATACCGGGCACTCTGCTTCTGGCTACTCGCAATGCTGTACCTTGTGACGAACCCGTAACATGAGTTCAGCGCGATCAGCTTCTCCTCAACCGGCGTGAGGCCCTTCAGCTCCTCGGGAAACATATGTTCACACCCAATACGTCTGTGAAGCTGGGCCGCAGGCGACAGAACACCCCGCCTCAAGCAACGACCGCACTCTCCACATGCCGAGAAGGTCTCGCCCACGGGAAAGCAGCTCCGACATGAAAATGGCGAACGGTTGTCCTTTTCGACGCAGCTCGACATCCATTGGTCCCATGTCACATCTCTCAACTCTTTTTTCGTGCGCTTACGGTAGCACAGCATGCAAGTCCGTATTGGCAAAGTGTCCACATCGTGAAACTCCTTGTAGAAGGCTCGCACGGTCGACACCTTTCTCTCATGTGGTATTGGCGTACACCACGTCTGCTCTTTGGACAAACCCTCCTTGGCGGCAAATTCGTCCTCCAAGAAGCGCAACGCGCTCGCCAGGTCTTCGGCCTGCAACTCTCGTCTTCTCTGCTTTCGGGTTCCAGCTCGGATTTGTTTCCTCGGAGGCTCGTCTCGGCTAGTGTCTGGTCTTGCTTTCGGCCGCCGATACCGTCCCCGACGTCTCTTGGGCAAACCCCGTGCAATTGCTGCTGCTAGCTCGCTTCGTCTAATGTCTTCAGATACTGATTGCTTGGGCTGAGTAATCCGAACCGTGGGTGCCTCATTCCGGCGAAAAAGCGGGGGATCGTCAACCGCCCTATGTGGCTTCGCTACTGGTGAGTTAACTGGTGTACGTAATTGCAAGTCTATCAATGGCAATCCTTCTCGACCTATTGGGGATAATTCAGCTTGTTCTGCAGTGCGCTTAGAGGCGCGTGAGGCTTGCCGATTCCTACAGCCGAGACAGTTAGCCGTAAGTCTTCCACATGTTAGGGAAGACTTTGTCTTCGAAATGAATTGATCTGCCGGCTTCTCCTGTTTGCAGTTCCTGCAAATCTTCGTTGAAGGGATAGAATCAGCCATGACTATGATTCCAGGCGGACGGTAGATCACAAGATTTCCGCGTCGGGCCCTCTTTAGTTGCACGATTTCGCTTCTGGGATGATGATGATTATGCTCCTTAATACGGCATTGCTTCCTGCAGTATCCGAGCGGTCCGTCAATAGTCCCCTTAACCACCTACAACCCTTCCTGTATGCCTACAACCCAGACTCTTGCTCAACTGCCGACGTTGCCCTTTGTGCCGCCGCAACTCCCATCCTTCAAGTCGGTGCCACACTCAAGCTGAAACCGTTGCTACCCCGATATCAGCTGATTCCATGTCGGCACTTCGCCTCCATTCGCAAGCTTCACAGAAAAAGACACTACTCCATCCCCTACAGTCACATCTCATTTCTGACATTTGACTTACATCACTTTCGATGACGTCTCTGCTTCCAGATCGACCTTGCTCATGATCCAAACCCCGCATTCTTCATCTATTTGAAACCTGAAGCTTTCCCGGACCGTTGTCTGGGCTCTGATCTGCCGAACCCCGCACCCCAGATACTGCGGCCCGCGAGAACTACCACTGCGTCTACCTGTATCCATATAGAAACCAAGCCATCGTCACCTCTCTCACTTCCTATTCTGCCGTTCCCTACCGCGGTATCTACCGTCCTATTGCCTCCAACGTTCGTCTCGGGTATTCTTGGCTCGTTTCCGACAGCCACTGCTCCAGTGTATTATGCCTCCTCCCGCTCCCTTCCCCAATAGCCCCTCGAACCCGCGCAAACCTCTCGAGAGCCAGACAAACGCGGGCAGTGATATGTCCGTGATGCTTTTCGTCCAGCCAGATTGCCCGTCCAAGTTTGCCTATCAGGACCAGCATCGCATTAACGGGCTCAACGCAGAGGCATTGGCGAGGGTCTTCCTACCTGCCCCACCCTGGATTCTGACCCCCGAGTATGCGCAACTTCGGTCGGACCCCGGCAACCCCTCCGCCTGCATCTTCTTTAGCACCAACCTTTCTATCTATAATAAACAAGTCGTTGCATCAGAATGGACCGAGCAATGGTTCTTTATGAACGGTCGTGTTTACCCGTACACCCTGACCTGGGAGATTGAACAGCGAGATGGTCTAGAGTTAGATACTGGCGCTATCACACAATACACCATTCCGGCTCTTATCATCCGTGATCAGGGCTACCAGCCGTAAGCATGCTGTATATAACTGACCTTGGCATCCCGCCCTGACTCGAGCTAAAGCATTCTCCCCCGAAACTTTGCCTCCGTAGACCACTTCCCCGCTGTCCCTCCCGTTGTCGCGTTCACTGGCCCTGTTGTCGGTTCCGGCCGCATATTGCTACGAAAGGAGTCTATTCCAGGACTCGACGGCGTCCAGTTGAAGTGCTGTGGCTTCGTCCAACTTTCTACGTTCATTGCTCCTGGAAAGCCTGATAAGACTCCCTTCAAAGGCTTCCATCCATTCCAGGTCTTTGTTATCTTCCCCATCCACGCTAATCCTTGGGCAGCCCTGTGCAAGAAAATGGTCGAGAGACAGGACACCTAGTTCTAGACCAACGCGCTTTTCACTTGTACGGGCAAAGTTGTCGGCCTGCTCGACCATAATATCATGGTGCACCCGCCCGGCTTTGACCGCGACTACGTTTTCATCGTCGTGCTAGATACCTGGACCTTTCTCGATAGGGCCACGTCCAAGTCGGCTTCCGCAGCCCTATCACTCTCTACCCCACCGAAGTAACCGTCCTCTGGCCCTATGGCCTTTGGGGATGCGAAAGCTATGTTTGCCTCGCCACCAAAACCAATAGTTCACCGATCTCCTCCTATCCCGTCTACTCCTCCCACCTCTGCTTCGCTCGAACCGACTATACCACCGGCCAAGCGAATAAACCCTAACTGCGGCTAGACCCCTACGAAGAAACGACGTCTGTCCCCGGCCTCTTCTAGCACTATTCTATCTTCTCAGAGCAAGGAGCCTGTTGGATCCCCCGCGATTTCGGCTTTCTCACAAGATGAACTTGATGTATCGGAGGCAGATATTGCCACTACCTGTCGTCTAGATGCGCCTGCGTCCGATTCAATCATAGCGTTCTCGCCTGATCCGCCCCGACCACATCGCAACCGTTATCCCCCAAAGAAGTATCAGGAAATTGTCTAAGAACCTATTGGAAAAATCCCCTTAGCCTAGCAACAATTAGTCACTTCGTATAGCAACAAATTGACTGAGATAGCTGTTGTCTATCCAGCAGTGGCGACTATTAATATCCCTCCTCGCCCATATTACCCATCCTTGGGCATGTAGACCTTCTTGTGAATTTTCTAATCCGGCCTTTGATGCTCCTTCCCCACAATAGCCCACGGCCCGGCATCGCCTATACATCTTGATGCCTTCCGTCTTTTCCCACATATACCTTATAGAGCATGTTTTCTATCATTTGTATGCTAGATGCATGATTCTGCAGATGCAAGATTGCGTCTCTATTGCATGACGTTTTCACTCTTTTGTATTTTCATGACCCCTTACTTCCTACACCACCTCGAGGACGCTGCCGGGATTACCCCTGAGAGGGTTCAGGTCTCCCCGCGTGTATATTTATGGCCAACACCACTCAAAACCAAGATTCGCACTTGGCTTTTCCGTATAGCCATCTTCGTTCCTCAAGGCCTTTGCGCAACCCGTGGTCGGGTTGCCTCTCCTGTTACTCAGTCAGAAAAAAAGAGCATAAAACTTTTTCTGATTGGCTAATTGGCATGGTCTATGCTCAACTCGTGCTTGAATTGGTCAGTTGTCAACGCTAACGACGCCACTACATAGGGAAGCCCGCGATCGTTGACTAGGTAACGCTTTTGGTAAGCTCTCTAGGAGCTTTAAGGTTGTCCTTCAATCAACTCCGGCCTCTAAGCGCGATTCTGGCCGGAGCACCGACATGGCGTCTGCTTTCCCTTTGCCGTCAAAACTATTATCCACTAAACCTTACGAGGTTACTAATGACGTCTCGGCTCACGTATTACCTGCCTCCGGTCGAGCGGTGAAGTGTCCCCTCCTTCCCTGATCGTTCGAACCTAATCAAAACACCCTACAGATAACCTCCCATATCGAGATCTATTACGCTACGGTATATCTAAGTAAACCCTCGCTGCCTAAGCGGTACCTACCCGGTCGTCTGCATGGGTAAGAGGCGGATAACAATATATGCAGCCGGATGGAGAATGATATACCCCAGGCAGTTCGGAACTGCCATACTTGCAAGTAAGACCTGCCCGAGGTCGAGTTTCGAAGCGTTAAGGACCCTGCGAGGCTTATGAGATAGTGTAGTAGCTGTAGGGCACGCCAAAAGGAGCGAGTGGCCGAATCCCGAGCCGCCGTTGCCGCCATGCGGAACATCGCCTCGAGGCTATCGCCGCGCAGAACGACGAAGAGGACCGATTCTCAGGCTCAATTGACGCCTCCACGGCGAAACGCGTAAGCGCTCGTGTCCATCAATAGCTCATAACCCCCTGTAACGCCTGCTGTATTCCGTGGTCTGGCGCCTGTCCTCCAGGGACTGCCTAGACCTCTGCTGGGCCCATCTACCTCAAGCGCAGCGGAAGGAGCCCTCCCTATCCCTCCCACCTTAAGCCCGCCAAGAGTAGTTCTGGGCACGCCGATTCCTAGTGACACGACCATAATGGCTCCTATTGTGCTAGGCATGCCTGTGCCATAGGAATCGTTCCCTACCACTGCTTCATTACTGCCATAGGGTCATCGCCGCGGCCGCTATACACGTTAAGGCATCGTGAACCGACGGCCACGGCCATAGCTTTAAGAACGACAGTTTGATCAGATAGTTGATCCACCTTTTACAGGGGACCTTGATTTGCCTGCCCTTAGTGAGGAGGATCGGGCGCTTGTGCGGGAGTTCTATACTGCCCTGAATGACGATAAGATGCATAGTTGCATTCGCTGCCGGGAGCATTGGTTCGATATGAAGAAAAACAGCTTAGGAGTCTGCAGCCGCTGCATTAGTCGAGATAGGGAGAGAACCGCTGACGAGCCCTACTTCTTTAGCGCTGCGAATAGCCTTGACTTCGGGGAAGTCCCCGGTAATCTACCTAGCCTAACGATGGTTGAGGAGATGCTGATTGCTAGGGTTCACGTACACGTGAAGGTCCTACAGGTACGTGGCTCTCAGTATAAATACCGCGGCCATATTGTCCACTTCCTTCGCAATGTTAGTAGGCTATTTGAAGAGCTCCCGGTCCTACCTGAAGAGCTAGATATCGTGCTCCTGCGGCCTCCTAATATGGAGGGCGACCCTCACTTCCAGCAGCAGTTTGCTCGCGATTTCCGGGTACGCCGCTCATGCCTGTTGACCTGGCTGCATTACCTACAGCGCCACCACCCGGGCTATCGCGATATCGTTGTGAGGCAGGATCGCTTGCAACGGCTTCCTCTTGACGGCAGCATAGTTGCTTCCGTTGCTAGCCAAGTGGCTGACATACCTGACGGCGAGGCCCCCCAAGGTCCCGTTGAGGAGGATGTAGAAGAGGATCCAGCAGATGCAGATGCATCGGCGATCCCCGATTTGCAGGTTACAGACACCGAATTAAACGCCCTGCAGTCCCGATTGCTTCATGGTACCCCTGACCCTGAGCGTATGGCCGATCTTGAGCATATACCGCCTAACGCGCAGGCTCAACACCAGATGCCACTACCTTCCATTCGCAGGACTCCTATCAACGAATTCAACCGTTCCCAGCCGCTGTTGACGCTCGCGTTCCCCACCCTCTACCCCGACGGCAAGGCCGACTTCGTAGAGCCTCGCCTACGGAGCGTCACGTACCAGGACTACCTTGCCCATGCGATGAGATGGCAAGACGGACGTTTTGCCCGGCATAAGACGTGGCCTTTTGTCGCCCTCAACACGCTATTACGTGCGCAGGTCAGAAAGCGGAGCAACTACTCGGTCAAGCAACACGAAGGCCGCCGCCATCAACCCCTTACGCGCGCTGACATAGAGGAAGCGATGGCTAAGCCTGACGAGCCAGAGGCTCAGGCCCTGATCCAGTCGATCACGCGCCAAGCGGCCGTAATCAGGGGCACCCATCCATATTAGTATAAGCAAAGGAAGGAATTGGAGGCATATGCCTACAATCTAGGCAGGCCTGGCCTTTTCGTTACAGCAAGTGCGGCTAATTACCACTGGGAGTCCCTATATCGTCATATGCCTCGATTCCAGGAGTAGAAAGCAGCTCCTGAGGCGGCGCGAATAGCTCTATCCCGGCAACTACTGCGAGACAACGCCCACATTGCCGCTTATCACTTCCATAAGCGATATACGCTCTTTAGGACTATTGTCCTGAGGCAGAAGTTCAACCTAACGGACTTTTGGGGTCGCTACGAGTGGCAGGGCAGGGGTTCCAGTCACCACCACGGCCTATATTGGCTAAGTAGCCACCCGGACTTAGATCCCGATGACAGCCAGTCCCGGGAGCGATTTGCCCGAATCTGGGGATATCACGTATCCGCTATCAACCCAGAGCCTCAGAGGGTGCAGGCACCTAGGGAAGGGAATCCCTTGATCAGTAATCTATTGGAACATCCCCTTACCGTCCAGTTCCTATCGATGGTGGTAAACCGCGTGCAGCGCCATCGCTGCAACAACTACTATATGCAGCTCAGCAAGCATACCAAGCAGGTGGAGTGCCGCTTTGGATTTCCTCACGGGCAGCGCCTGCTAGCCTCCCTTGAAAAGGTTCCTCATTCTAAGCACTAGAGCTTTAGGGGCGAGCGGAACGATAGCCAGATAAACCACTACAACCGCTTACTTGCCGTTGCGTGGCTAGCCAATACAGATGTCTCACCCTGCACGAGCCTGCAGCAGGTGATCGATTACGCAGCTAAATACTACTCCAAGTCGGAGAAGAAGAGTGAGTCTTTTGCCCAGATTGGGAAGGCCCTAATGCCCCGGGTCAAGGACCACAACCCGCTGATTTCCTTCACGTCAAAGCTCCTAAATCAGCTAGTTGCTGAGCGAGACTACTCGAAGCAGGAGGTTAGCCACTTGCTCCTCGGTCTGCCGTTACAAGAGGGCTCACGAACCTGCTTACACATTGATTGCCGTAATCCTAACATGCATTCCCGCTCTTTACGGATTAACGCCGATGAGGTTGACGAGGCCCCCAACGTCTACGAAAAGTACTATCAACGCCCCGAATCCCTAGAGGACCTGACCTATGTTTCCTTTCTCAAATACTGGAATTTCCACTCTAGGGACCCTTCCAAGTGGAAGCAATGGCAGCCAGCCAACGTCAACGGCAGGCCGCGTGTATTAGTCTACTTTCCTCGCTATCAGGCTGATCCAGAAGGCCAACAGTGGCCAGAGTACTACCGCGTAAAGCTGGCATTGAACCACCCACATCGTCGGCATGATGAGCTCCTCATGTTTGACGGCCATCATTTTAATTCTCACGCTCAGGCCTTCTCCTATTGTTAGCAGCACCACAGTCATGGTGATGACCATTACGGCCGGCCAAAAGAGGTTCGATTACAACCTCAAGAGGATCAGT